ATCATGGCCAACATTCGCGACGTCAAGACTACCTCGCCCGACTACCAGGGACAGGACCCCGAGGAAGCCGCGCTTGACTTCCGCAACCGCATTCGCAACTACGAGAAGGTCTACAAGACGCTTGACGAGGACGGTGATGAGAACGAGTACACCTACCTGAAGATCATGGATGTCGGCAAGCAAGTCATCATCAACCGCATTCAGGACTACCTTCAGAGTCGCGTTGTCTACTACCTCATGAACTTGCACATTCGCCCTCGCTCCATCTGGCTCTCTAGAGTATGTATCACTGACTTTGCGCTGTTGAGTCTTGGCTAATGGGGAACAGCACGGAGAGTCCATGTACAACTTGGATGGTCGCATTGGTGGCGACACTACGCTCTCTCCCCGTGGTGAGCAGTATGCGCGCAAGCTTCCTGAGCTCGTCCGCGATTCAGTCGGTGTAAGTCATTCCAGAAATGTGTCTTTTGCGTCTAAATTGCTGACTAACCCACAGGACGACCGTCCCCTGACCGTCTGGACCTCGACTCTCAAGCGCACCATTGCCACCGCCCGCTTCCTTCCTCCTAACTACAACCAGTTGCAGTGGAAGGCTCTCGACGAGCTCGACTCCGGCGTCTGCGACGGCCTCACCTACCAGGAAATCAAGGACCGTTTCCCGGAGGATTTCGCCGCCCGTGACGAGGACAAGTACAACTACCGCTACCGCGGCGGTGAGTCGTACCGCGACGTCGTCATCCGCCTCGAGCCCATCATCATGGAGCTCGAGCGCAGTGAGGACATTCTCATCGTCACCCACCAGGCCGTGCTGCGCTGCATCTACGCCTACTTCATGAACAAGAGCCAGGCCGACAGCCCCTGGATGAATGTGCCCCTGCACACCCTCATCAAGCTCACCCCACGCGCCTACGGAACCGAGGAGGTGCGCTACGAGGCTAACATCCCCGCGGTCAGCACCTGGCGTGGCAAGGGTTCTACGGCCAAGCACGAGAACCCGATTGCGGAGTGTACGTGAAAAGAGTCCTTGAGATTGGTTTGTGGACCAAGATTGACTAAAGGATTGGAATAGGAACTCGAGGGAAACGGACGCAGGCGTGACTGTCTTGTGGTCACAGTCTCTGTGATTGAGACAGTTCGAGATCGATTCCAGATCTGCGCACGCGAAGGATTTCTTTTTTTTTTCTCTTGACGACGACGACGTTTTCAGACTCCACTTCTCGGCATATTCCACTCGGTTCACGATGGCGTTTAAGGATAACACGGAGAGAAAGAAAAGATGACCTATTACAGGGACGGCGGCAAAAAAAACGCGGAGAGTGGTGGCATATCACGTCGGAGGGAACCCGACACCCATTCTCGATGGAACAAATTTCCTTGCTTTTTTGACTGGACCAGACGAACGTCAACACGGCGACTGCATCACTCTGTTTACACTTCTCACCCAGAAGTGGGCTCCCACGCTTTCAGAGTCTTGCAATTACTGTCGCGATGCATCTACGGTCCGGTATCTCAATTACTTTGCACTTGCTCAAGATCCTACAACTACTCTAGGACAAATGTTTTCAAGGTTCGACAATTCACAATCAAATGAAAGGGAACGATAGGGGAGGGGACAAAAATTGCATCGATCGGACGGGGGGTTACGCAGGCGGTTTGAGTGGTTGCGGACACCGGCATAGAGGTTCGGGTTGGACCAAGGACCGTTTGACATCCGTCCGGGTGTGACGAGGGACTGGACGGTGGAAGTCTTTCCCCGGCTGGTGTCCTCTACATGTTCCCTTTAATTTTCGAGTTTCATAGCTTCATGATGAATGTACCTGCGTTAGGTACCAATGGCATTTTCTCTCGGCCGTGACTGACATCAGAACTGCTACGTTCCTGCTCTTACCGAGGATGGAAATTGGGAACTATTGTAGATAACGTTGATCAACAAAGTCTATGTTGTTACCTTCGTCCAGTCGCGTGTAACAAGTCCCACAAGAGCTAGTTCGACGGCAATTTCAGACACATCCTCGACAACTATTCGACGAGTCTCCCAGCAATAGACTGAGAACCAGGCAAGTGTAAAAGTTCGTTCCGATGGCGAAGCTGTGATCTTCGAGGTAGCTTATTGATGAAGAATCGCTCGATAATGTCTACGTTTGCAGTGACCTTAAAGATGACGGCCAAGCGGAACGCTCAAGCATCTCGTTATCGAGGAATCAGCATTGAATCTGATATGAGTCATACGTTAGGAATCATCGTTCGAGATGGCTTATACCGTGATGGCCTCGACAATAAGATGAAAAGCTTGAATTCGATGTCTGGCTCTGCTCTAGGCGCATAAAAGCCCGGAACGTCTGTATTCAAGTGATGGGGGTGTTCACAAATCCCACCTTCAGCACCAGGTACGTACCGTTTGCCCCGCACTTCATTCCACTCGGGGTGGATTAACCACCTCCGTTATCAACCCAGACTTTTCAGACCGATAAGAAAAAAAATTCCCAGGCGGGTGAGGGTCGACACTTTTGGGAGCAGCTTGAGAGAAGTCCCTTCTGGCCGCCTTCACTGCACGGTTTTCTACAACGCAATTTTCGCATTGCAAAGAACCACCACAAAAACCACACAACATGGACGCCGCCACGAGCAAGAAGAGAAAGTCACGCGACTCCAATGGCGTGAAGATCTCCAGTAAAAAGCGAGCCGCCGAGGCAGAGGTCCCCGCCGCCTCGACGACCGCAGAGGCCCCCGCGAAGAAGTCCAAGAAGGTGAAGCGCAGCAAGCAGCCCGAGCCCGAGCCGGAATCCGACAATGAGGAGCAGGAAGTCGAGGCAGAAAGCGACGCCGAAGATGTAGAGAACGAGGAGGAGACGGCGGCCGCCAACTTCAAGACTGCACAAGACGACGAAGACGAGGGCAACGGCTCCGACCTCGACGACGACGTCCACGCGCCCGCAAAGGACACCGCCGACGGCGAAAACGACATCCCCAACGCGCAGCAGCTCTCCCTCCCGCCCGCCGCCGGCGCCGAGGCCCACGATTTCGCCGAGCTCAACCTCTCCGAGAAGACGATGAAGGCCATTGGCGACATGGGCTTCACCAAGATGACGGAGATCCAGAGGCGGGGTATCCCCCCTTTGCTGAGTGGCAAGGACGTTCTGGGAGCAGCCAAGACGGGTTCTGGAAAGACGCTCGCGTTCTTGATCCCCGCCGTCGAGATGCTTAGCGCCCTGCGCTTCAAGCCGCGCAACGGCACGGGCGTCATCGTCGTCTCGCCCACCCGCGAGCTGGCGCTGCAGATTTTCGGCGTCGCGCGCGAGCTGATGGCGCACCACTCCCAGACGTACGGTATCGTCATCGGCGGCGCGAACCGCCGCGCCGAGGCGGACAAGTTGCAAAAGGGCGTCAACTTGTTGATTGCCACGCCCGGCCGCCTGCTGGATCACCTGCAAAACACCCCCTTCGTCTTCAAGAACCTCAAGTCACTCATCATTGACGAGGCCGACCGGATATTGGAAATCGGTTTCGAGGACGAGATGCGGCAGATTGTCAAGATTTTGCCAAAGAACGACCGCCAGACGATGCTCTTCTCCGCGACGCAGACGACAAAGGTCGAGGACCTGGCGCGCATTTCGCTCCGTCCGGGCCCGTTGTATGTGAACGTCGACGAGAAGCAGGAGCACAGCACTGTCGCAAACTTGGAGCAGGGGTACGTCCTCTGCGACGCGGATAAGCGGTTCCTGCTGCTGTTCTCGTTCCTGAAGCGCAACTTGAAGAAGAAGGTTATTGTCTTTTTCAGCAGTTGTAACTCGGTGAAGTACCACGCCGAGCTGCTCAACTATATCGATTTGCCGGTGCTGGATCTGCACGGCAAGCAGAAGCAGCAGAAGCGGACGAATACGTTTTTCGAGTTTTGCAATGCCAAGCAGGGTACGCTCATCTGCACCGACGTTGCCGCTCGTGGTTTGGATGTAAGTCACACTCTCACAACCTTCATCATGGATGTCGTGGTTTACTAACAGACTTGTAGATCCCCGCAGTAGACTGGATCGTCCAGGTCGACCCCCCAGATGACCCGCGCGACTACATCCACCGCGTCGGCCGAACCGCCCGCGGCTCCAACAGCAAGGGCCGCTCCCTCATGTTCCTCCAGCCCAGCGAGGTCGGCTTCCTGACGCACCTCAAGGAGGCCCGCGTGCCCGTCGTCGAGTTCGACTTCCCCGCAAACAAGGTCGCCAACATCCAGTCCCTGCTCGAGAAGCTCATCAACCAGAACTACTACCTCAACAAGAGCGCCAAGGACGGCTACCGCTCCTACCTGCACGCGTACGCGTCGCACTCGCTGCGCACCGTGTTTGACGTGAATAAGCTGGATCTGGCCAAGGTTGCAAAGTCGTTTGGCTTCTCGACGCCGCCGAGGGTGGATATTACTGTGGGCGCGAGCATGAGTCGGGATAAGAAGACGCAAGGGAGACGGGCGTATGGAAGTCAGCCTAGGAACCAGCAGAGCGGTACTGGTGGGTTTTATAAGAAGCGGTGAGGAGGGGCCTTGAGAGGGGTGTCAGTGGATGATGATGAGAAGAAAATGGGCAGAAGAGGTTCTTATTATTGCTGAGATGGCATGGTTCCTGTGAGAATAGATTTTGGTCAGCACGGCGTCGCGTTCATCAAAAATCATGATGGTCAAAAATGGTAATTGGGACTTTGATTTGTTTACAAGATTTTGGTCTGCTCATGAACTGTGATTGTGTATGGAAGACTCGATGGCCTGTAACAAGGGGGAAAGAGCATCGCCTCTCATTGTCCACTGCTGACATGTTCTGAGTTCAGTCTGTAGAAGCCAGAGAAATTCAGAGGATTTGTCGAGCTCGATGTCTACCGGAACGGCAAGAAGCATCCATCTTTCAGTATGAGGCTAGCAAGTTGAGGCCGGCTTGGTTTACTGTACTGAGCCCGTCAGTCAGATGGTCGTGGCCAGGGAGCCCAGGATCTGATGCATAATGAATATACAGAAGAGCTAACCAGAATACTCTATTGAATCTATTCTTCCGCACCGGTTATGGGCCTCCGACCGGGCTCCTACTGCCTCATTCACCCCGTCTCCGGGCCACGCGATTCTCAGTATCTACACCATCCGGACGAGAACTCATATCAACCACATCGCCAACCATATTTTTTCCCCTCCCACCAAGCGTGCCTTCCTTTCTTGAAAGAGTTTCTTCCCACCCTTTTTCTTTTCTTCTCTGGACCACTGGTCGATTCATTCTTTCTGCTCCATCCATATATCACCAAGAAGTCGTACGTCTTTTGAGCAAAAAGGGAGATTGACGGCAGGTCGCATACAAGCTTCACCCTTCCAACCAACGACAAACGAATTACCAGGCTCACTTTCCGCCTACTTTTTCACCACAGTATCGAGAATTCAAGTCAGCTTTGAGCAAATACTGCATTCCAGAGTATCACAGTCAAAAGACAGCTGAAGAATCTCACTCAATACCCAGCAAACGAGAAAGTTCACTTCAATCCACAGCCACCCCGGACCAGATACCTTCCACCGCCTTCTTTGGGTACGACCTTTCAAATCTACATCCAGTCAGATCTAATATCATCAATTCAGTCAGGGCAATCAAGGGACTACAGATAACTCACTCAGTAACCTACAAACAATACCCATTACCACCCATCGACTCAAACTCAACCATCCACAAAGAATCAACTTCAATCAAACCGAATTACCCCAAAGAACAAAATAAGATGTGTACCTACATCTACACCATACACACGGCCTGCATGCACAAGCAGTACCAAAACATGATGGAGTGCGTCCGCACCCGCACCGGCGACAGCACCACGCGATTCGGCACCTACAGGACCCTCCACGGCGAGCTCACTCTCAACATGCCTGTTCATTTGCCCGAGAAGGAGCCCTTTGACATTCCGCTCCGGGAGTGTCGCGCTCGGCCCCGGTTTGCCACGCGCCCCGTGTCTGGGCTGTGTGGTGCTTGTAAGAGGGCGGAGAGGGAGAAGCGGGCTGCTGAGGCTTTGGGTGAGTTTCTATTTTTACTTTAATATTTGTCTTTGATTGTTTTTTTCTTCTTCTTGTTTTTATCAAAGATGCCTGTCTCGATCTTGGTTCGGCGATTATGCCTTGCCTAGAACTCTATGCACAAAGATTATTTTATGATTCAGCTTTTCTCAAGGTTGTATCCGGTACTACATTTCTACTGTGAACGGATCCCCATTATTCACCATTCTTCTCAATACGCATATACCATGCGGCGTACTCGCTAGGAAATGATGACTGACCAAGGCCGGTGATGTAGAAGCTGAGCGAATGGCGGGGGTTGCCGATATGCCGGCGGGTGTGAGAACCAGCATCATGGGGTTGGAGACGCTGGTTGCTGCCACCAAGAGGATGGATCTGGAGGATTGAGAGCTACCCAATACAGCTCGAAATCTCTTCAGCTAATCCTCTTGGGGGCAGCAACTGGCCATGGAGTTTGGAGGAGTGGTTTATAAAGGCGTTCAATTACGAAGAGCAAGGAAAGTGTTTTTTTTTTGGGCCTGGGATGGACTTTAGGAATGATACCCCCGGATCGGAGGACGAGTTACGACATCAATTGAGATTTTCTGGTCTTGATGAGAATGATTTCAGTTCCACGCCAATGTTGATATGATCAGAGATGGTGATGGTGATGTTAATGATGGATGTTGGTGGTGGAGGCCGGCGCCGAAGTGACACGGACGCGTGGGGCAAGACGGGGAAAGGGACTGTGGGGGAAAGAGCACCGAGGGAGGGGGATCGGCGGGTCCATGCTTTCTTTTCTTCTTTTTCGGGGTTGGCACCTCTGTCTGACGGTTCAGGGTCGGTGGCTTGAACTTGGGGAATGCGCCAGCCACCGATTTCTTCTAGACTCGATCTCCCGTCTCCAGAGACAAATTGAAGACTGGCAGACTTCTCGATTGATGAGTGTGTCTCATTAGTTGTGTTTGATTACCTCCTCATAGCTGAATGAGCTGGTCCAAAAGAGGGGTCTTGTCTGCCGCCGTCGTACTACAGAAACGACACATGACACTTTGGGCGCTAATTGGAGAGCCATGTGCTACTTGGATTGTCTGGCGTCTGTCAGATTTGTTCTGGATCCCGGTCTACGTACCTTTTCCACCCAAAGGTACGAAGTACCTGCCTTGCACGCCTTGGTAGGTACGGATGGTCTGTTCAATGTTACTGTACAAGTACCTAGGCAGAATAAGACGCATAATGCAGGATTCAGTCAGACTTTGGAAGAGGAACGCCAACAGCCAGACAAATCAACGGCAGGTTCGTCCCGTTGTTGGAGCATTCATGCGCAGATCGATGCAATCATAAGATGGGCAAGACGATATCAGGGGTCCTAGAAAGCGAGTGTGACGGTGCCAGCCAAACTCAATTGCTTCACCTCTGATGCTCTGACGGAACATGGTCATGAATACCTTCGTTACCTTGCAAAGGTACGAATAGAGGTACCCTGACCTGACTGCCCCCCTTATCTACCTGCCTTGGGTCCTTACCCCATGCACCTCGCACCCACGAAGAGAAAGTACCCCGGCCTCAGGTGACAGTGATGGATCCCAATCCTTCCAACATGTTGGATTGCGCCAACACCAACCGGTATAGGTGCAGATGCGGTTGCAGATTGCAGACACCCAACGACGCGCACTCACACCCCTTTTGCCTCTTACAGCCCACCTCACTATGTGTACGGCGTAGGTACGAATGCGCCTTTAAGCCTTGCAGCATTCGCTGAGCCCATTCCCATTCCCATCCATCATTCCCTCCCCCCATCTTCCTGGCTCAGGTCCTCCCCGCTTGGCCCCGTCGCAATCCACCAATACATCATACCTGGGCAGGCACCCCCATAACTCCAGCCGCAGCCAATTACTACCTACTGCTACCACTTACCTCACTACTCCCACCACCACCACCACCACTACGGCTACATTCTCACAGCATCACCACCCGAGTGAGCTCACATACCCGACCGCTCATATATTCTTCCCTTTATAGCATTGCATCGTCCGTTTCCCCCATTGCATTGTTTCTTCTTTCTTGCATGCGTAATCCGTAATCGAATATCCCACCCGCGCTACCGCTCGAAAATGGCCAAGAAAGCGCGCCAGAGGGTCAGCTATGGTATGTCTGTCGTGTGTGCATCTTCTGTCCGTGCCGCTTTGCTTGCTGTTGGTGCTCGTGTGCCCGCTGCGCTGCCGTCGCATGTTGGCTGAGGTCGGCGACCGCAACCCCGCACGTCCTCCAGGACGAGTACCTCGAGTCTTGACCTTCATCGCGAGACTCGGGCCTGTCTGTAGCGTTCCTCGAGAATGTCAATGGCCTCGCTTGCTAATCCCATACCGTCAAATAGTCCTCGAGCTCCCAGCTGGTTCGCAAGGCGGCGGCCACAGGCTAGGCGTCAATGGCCTCGCCGTCGACAAGGACAATGGCATCCTGTAAGATCCCGAGACCCGTGATGCGAACCGTAGCCCTCCTGCTACCACCTTCTACTCCTCCTCTCTGCGCCGCTGCCCGCTGACACTGCTCTGCTCGCAAACAGATACTCGGGAGCCCGCGATGGCTACATTTGCGCATGGGACCTCAACCTCAACCTCCAGACCGGCGGCAGCGTACCACCCCCCGAGACCAAGACCAAGACCGCCTTCCGCTCCCAGACCCAGGCGCACATGGCGTGGATCAACGACATTGTCCTCGCCAACAATAACTCCGCCGTCGTCACCGCCTCCAATGACCTGACAGTCAAGGTCTGGCGCCCACACTCCGAGACGAACGATATCGCCGCGACCATTGGAGGACACGCCGACTATGTCAAGTGCGTTGCTACACCCCCTGGCGGCTCCGTCAACTGGGTCGCCTCGGGCGGCTTCGATCGCAAGATATACCTGTGGGACTTGAACGGAGGAGGCAAGACTCTCGAGATTGACACCCAGGGGGACGAGGTTGCGGAGAAGGGCTCCATTTATGCCTTGAGCGTAGGCCACAGCATCATGGCCAACGGTGGCCCCGAGTCCGTTGTGCGCTTATGGGACCCTCGTTCCGGCAAGAGAGTGACCAAGTTCGTCGGCCACACGGATAACGTGCGCGGCGTCCTGCTCAACGAGGCCGGTGACAAGGTGCTTACGGCCAGTTCCGACCACACGATCAAGCTATGGAGTGTCACGGCTGGACGTTGTATGTACACGTTCACCATGCACGAAGACAGCGTCTGGTCGCTCTTCTCGGACGACCCTGAGCTGGGCACCTTTTACAGTAGTGACAGGTCTGGTTTTGTCGTCAAGACAGACGTCCGCGGGAACCTCGAAGACCTCGACGACGGAATTTCTGTTGCTGTCGCCCACGAGTCTCATTCGATCAGCAAGGTTGTGGCGGCAGGCGATTACATCTGGACGGCGACCAACACTTCGTCGATCAACCGGTGGTCCAATATCGACACAGGCCCTGACCTGCAGCTTCCCGAGGCCTTCCAGCGCCAGCGGGCTGCATCGACGGCTTCGAGAACGAGACAACCCTCGAGTCCTCCGCCTGCGAACCCACCAAAGAAGGAAATCTCACCAAGATCCATCTTACGCATCTCCAACACTGCAACATTCCCGGTCCAAGCCAACCCCGGCCCGGAATCTCCGCCTGCAGTTGGGAATCATGTGCCGCACGGGACCGAGCCCATCAACCAGAACCCAGAAGAGACCATTGAGGGTCAGTTTGGTTTGGTCAAGCACAGGTTCTTGAACGACAGGAGGAGAGTCCTGACGCTAGACACGGCTGGTGACGTTCTCATGTGGGATCTCATCAAGGTATGTTGGCTGCTTGTGTGGCCCGAGGATGAATCACTAATTCTCGCAGTGCAAACCCATTCAAAAGTTTGCGAAAAAGCACCTAGAAGACGTTGAAATAGAAGTCAACACCACGGAAGCTGTAGCTCCGTGGTGTTCCATCGACATCAGCTCCGGAAGTCTCACTGTGGTTCTGGAACCATTCAACTGCTTCGATGCAGAGATGTATGCGGATGACCTGGAGTTGGAGGAGCCGGTAGAGTTCCGGGAGGACCAGAGAAGTAAGATATCCGCGAGACTAGGAACGACCACAAGCTGACCATGAACATAAGTCAATCTCGGCAAATGGATCCTTCGCTACCTGTTTGCTGGTTTGATTGATGAGGAAATCAAACGCGATGAAGCGTACCGTGCCACACTCAACGAAGCTGTCGAACGGAGACTACAAGCAAGCCGTGCAAACCCCCCTTCGTCAATAGCGATTCCGACCGACAATGCGTGGGATGAGAGCTCAGGAACGACACCACGTGCGAATGGCTCTCACTACCCCATGACGCCTGGCATGGCTATTGGCCTCGCCACGCCGGGAGCTTCTGGCCGCCTTCACGACGTGCCAGAAGGAGCAGCCACTCCATCTAGCCCTCTTGACAACAAATCATCTCAGTTCAGCCGGCCGTCAACCGAGCGAGAAGACTATTTCACAAGCGCCATTGGGCCGATCGAAGGCGCTTCGAAGCCTACCGCAGCACCAGCAACGCCTGCTGAGCAAACAGCGGCTCCCGATGCCAAGACCCCTGCAGACGCAGGCAAAGACAAGGAGAAGGATAAGGACAAGGAAAAAGACAAGGACAAAGATGCAACCAACGGAAAGTCGCCCAGTACACCGTTTGGCAAGAAATTCCGCATGGGCATGGGCATGTCTTTTGGTAGCAAGAAGAGTGGACGATCGGCGTCGACCACTGCGCCGGAGAAGCCAGCTGTGGTGGACGAGAAGGCTGAAGAATCCGAGGCATCATCAACCCACGAGAAGGAAGTCGATGACAGTTTCCTGGGCGCCATCCAGAAGATTCGCAATGATTACGACAAGTCACTGACTGAGAATCCCGAGAAGCTCATCGAGACAAAAGTTACGCCAAGCTTGGCAAATGACACACCGGTGCTCAAACTGCCTCCTGGTACAAAGGTTGTCCTCCAAGAAGAGACGACTGGTGGAAGTGCCAACATCTATCAGGGTACTGTTGAGACAGTCGGCCAGGGGGCGGATGTCATTGAGCAGTGCGGTCCCATGTGGTTGGGCGAGGTGCTGCTCCAGAACCAGATCCCTATTAAGGAGCCTGTTAAGGTCTCATTCGTCCTTCAGCCATGGCAGAACAGCTTGCCCGACATTGCAACAACGGATGGCAACAACCGTCTCAATGCTAACAGGATGCTACGTGTTAAGAAGATTTTGGCCTACGTTGCGGAACGCATCGACCCCCAGCCAGAGAACCCAGAACCGGATGCTCTCCTGCCTCACGAGTACTTGGAGCTGTATTGCAACGAACAGGCAAGTGTCCTATGCATGCACCTTGCTCGATTTCTGCTAACCTGGCTTAGTTACTACCCATTACGATGACCCTTGCAACCCTACGAGCTCACATCTGGAAGGGTGGCAATGACGTTCAACTTCACTACAAGGCAAATGGGCGCAAGGAGATCAAGGA